CAAATTGGAATGGAAACAGATTTCTTGAATACCCTAATTACTGACAAGTCAGGAATCACACATTTGCATCAAGTGAGAACTGGCTCTGGGAAAAGTCCATCGCTGCCATCTCACCAGAATTCTGGGAGTTTAATATTTCCTACAGGTTGGAAGGTCATCTACCTAAACACAATCATTTTAAGCCTTTTAGCAGCAATAGCTAGAAATCAGTGCAAGTCCAGAAAAACTATTTGAGAAATGAGGAGAGTACCAGATAACAAGAAACTATATTTAGCCTTTCTAAAGACAATTGAAAATTGGTTTCACTCGCTCTGTATATACCTCCGGAACGGAAAGAAAAAAATAATGCATACGAGGAGGCTTTTATTTTATTACAAAAAGACATAGCAAGAGTTAAAGAGAAGACATCCAGATGAGAAATTAGGCCCACATTCTTACAGGCATAGTGATATACGATTGATACAAACTGTCAAAGATAGCAGAGGCAACTTCTCTCTGTGCCTCCAGCTCAGGACTAGAAGACTTCTAGTTATTATCTAGTCAAGAACAAGCTGTGTTTTGATTAAATATAAATACTCTGTCTCAGCAGAGGGATGAAATGTAATGGCATATAACAGCAAAGTGTTCAGACTAGTCATGATCTAGGACAGATATACACTGCAAAATAACGCTCAACAGAAAAACTAGCAGAAATCCCTTCTGGCCTTCAGACCTATAACTCTACGACATACTGATTGCATTATGCTCTTCTATATTGTTTGCTATGTGATTACCTTACTTGATTAACCTGCTCCTGGTTGGAAATGAGAGCATGGTTCCATGTCACAATTTATCTGGTGGTAAAGCCATTTTAACAGAACCCTCTCTATCTCAATCCCCTATATTTGCCAGATCACTTACAGTTTATCATACCCCTCTGTTGTTCTGATGACTTTCTTTTCCAGCGGGTCTACACTGTGAAGTAGCTTAGCAAAAAGAATTTGCTTTAAAATATGCCCCCCCTCCCCCAATGTAAAGACAGCTGATTTAGATCTTTGAGCCAAGCAACAGGAGAGGATCGTTTTGCAGTGTGTCTGTCGTGGTTTAACCTGGCAGGCAGCCAAATACCACGCAGCCGCTCGCTCACTCCCCCTCCCCGGTGGGACAGGGAGAGAATCGGAAGGGTGAGAGTGAGAAAAACTCGTGGGCTGAGATAAAGATAGTTTAATAGAACAGAAAAGAGAAAATAATAGTAATAATGATAGAATATACAAAATGAGTGATGCACAATGCAATTGCTCACCACCCGCGCTGACCAATAACCAAGTAGCGATCGGTACTTCCTGGATCACGCCTACCATTCATATACTGAGCATGACGTCACATGGTATGGAATACCCCATTAGCCAGCTGGGCTGGCTGTCCTGATTCTGTTCCCTCCCATCTTGTGTACCTAGCTCAGTCAGTAGGCATGGGAGCGGGCCTTGGACTAGGAGGGCACTTAGCAACAACTGAAAACATCAGTGTGTTATCAACATTCTTCTCGTACTAAATCCAAAACACAGCACTAGGAAGAAATTTACCCCTACCCCAGCCGAAACCAGGACAGTGTCACACTTGAAGCCTAAAATATTGCCTATGTGAATATTGGAAGCTTCAATCATCAACATGTACCATGATGCATTTCTTGATTACTCATGAACTACTATGTTTTCCATTCACTTATCATCTTTATATTATGATGAATGAAATTACCAGACCTAGCCTTTGCTATAATTTTATTAGTACCAAGCTAAGCATTTATTACTCAGATTAGGGTGAGGGTATTGGGGTTTTTCTTTAATTATTGAAATGTTATTCCTTATGAATAACGATGAGAACAAGCTATGGAAAACCAATGTGCTAATTGATTACAGTAAGGCACTGCAAGTGGTGAAAAACATTGTGTAGAGGATAATTTCCTAGAGAAGTATACAAGGTTAAATGCTTCCATTCGAGACTGTTTGAACTGCTTTTGTAGAACGAGGTAGTTCACAAAGTACAGTGATAAGAGATTCAGTATTACCTATATAATTTATCAAGACAGCTTTGAGAATCAAAGTCTTCATTCTGAGCATCACTAACTGCAATGCACGACTTCTCTATCACAGTATTAGATCACAAGCTCTCAGCTATCCAAGCATCGCATCCAGGTGAGGCTTGTGTCTGCCCTAACTCAATATAATCCACTGTGAAATCAATGAGACTACTACTGTTGACCTTAACAGGAGGCAGATTAGAGTGAAAAAACCAGAGATGGAAAAAGTATTGAATAATCAAGCCCTTTTTCCCAGCCGAACTATGATACTACAAAAAGTATCACAGTTGAAGGGGCTTCTTCCTCTGTACTCTGTTAGTCTGTACGTAATAACAAGTTTGCAGTGAATATTATTCCAGTGCAAAATTTAATTTTTAGCTAACAAACCTATTGGGGAAGTTTATGTGATTTTTTTTATTGTTTTCTAGTCTTCTGTAAGTGCATTCTTAGGACACTCTATTATTATAGAAACAAAAAAACCCCTTCTTCTTTACCTGCTCATGTCGCTCTAGAAGTACTGTGTTCTCTGTGTGCTTTATCAGCACATTATTGTTGAATATTGTTGAATGTATGAATTGTTCATAATGAATTGAACAACAGTCAAAGAACGGATCTCCACAGATGAGTTTGGTCTTAAACACATTAAAATCTGTTTCAGATATAAAATTAACTAACTCTTCTTTTTCTTCAGGTAGAGTATTAGTAGCAGTCGTTCAGTTGATCAGCATCAAAAAGAAAAAAAAAAAGAAAAGAAAAAAAAGAAGGTAAATTGCAGCTGGAACTTGCCACTGTGTTTCATGTATTTCTGGGGTAGTCTTCCCAGTTCTAACTGAATCCTTTATTAAAATAGAAGTTTGTTTCACAGAGAACTGATAATATGTACTGTCCCCATTACAGAGAAGGAAAGGATGAATTAGAGTTTTGAAATGAGTTATTAAGAGAAGGAGATGAAATACGATTAAGATAGCTTCCCATTTTTACATATGCAATATGAGATGAATGTCAGCTCCACTTTCCCACTAAAGAAAATAAGTAGAAATGCATGCACTGCAATTTGTTCAAAATCTAATTTTTTTTTTTAATGCGAAACAAATCTTTTCCTAGAGTGCTAATTGTCACATATTTTCTTAAAGAGGAAAGAAAAGACAATTTCTAAAAGAAAATTTAATGTCACAAAATTTAAGAAAGCTTAGTCTTGTTCTTCATTTCAGCTTCATTAGTTTCCTTCATTAAATATTGTTTAAGAGATTTCACACTTTAGGAAGAACCCTTCAGTCTTCTGCAATAAAATAGACTTGTCCAGATGTTGCATTGAATCACTGAAGGAAAGTAAACACAGATGGAAATATTAGGTTCTTCTTGCATGGAGAAGAAATGCAAGCATCATACTGGACTCTTTAAACAGAGGTCTAACACGTCAGAAACATGAAGCAAGTCCCTCTCTTTACACATCTAGACTCGTTCTTCCTTTTAGCATCATACTTGGAAAAAAATACGGTTACCACCTCAAAACAGCCCAGTAAAGATCTTCTGAAAACAATGGGACATCTAAAACAGCTGAGCTACACGAAGAATCTGGTTGAGCTCTTTAACATAAAGAAGAGAAGACCGATGAGGAACTTGATAATAGTTTTCTTGTACGTTCAACACTGCTGTAAAGAGGAAGAAAATAATAGGTACTCTTTAGTCATGGTGTGTAAGACAAGAGGTAATGGGCTTGTACTGCAGAATGAAAGACTCAGGTCAGACGCAAAGGAGAAGACGACTGGTTTCAGACTTGTGGTTTCAGAAGTCAATAAAAATAGGCATATGGATCCCTGTCACAAAAGATACAGGCTTACTGGATACTGTCTTAGGAAAGAGAAATGGACAAAGAGATTTCAAGATGGGTTCTGTGTTTACTGGTTCACTAGGGAGATGCATCAGTTCACTGAAAAAAGTATGCTGTCTTTCACATGAATTATAGAAAGCCTTTAGTCTGAGCAGTTTTCCTAATTTCAGTTAAGAGGAGGACAAAAGGTGCTTATTTGCTTTCAATTTGCAAGTCCCAAAACACAAGCAATATCCTGATATAAGATAGCCCTAAAACATATGTTTGAATTCCTTGCTGTTCAGGAGACCATTCAAGCAGGGCTCAAGCATATTTAGCTGTTCTTCGGAATCAAAGAGCTGAATCTGTTCTGCTTTCTGAAACATGATCATTAATACGCAACACAAGCTTTTTCAATTAACAACAACTCATTATATTGTTATCTCTTTTTAAAAAACATGTATATCATCCAGGCAACCTTTCTTATCTATGTGGTTCTTGCCATCTGCTGGCAGATATTTTATGTTGTCAATTTAAAAGGCACAAATTACTTGAAGTTAATGAAAAATAATAAGGAAAAATGTTAAAAGCCGTATTAGTAACAAGCCTACATTATACGCATATATTGGGTATTAACATTGTGTATCAAAAATTTGGAGAAATTTTATTCAATCAATATTAAAATTAATGCACTTCTTAAATACAAACGTAACATAGCACATATTCTATATTACCAAAGGAATCATTATAATATAGCATCTAATCACTAAAAGAAATTCTACAGATGACAAACCAGTAGTAAATCGATTACTTCACCTACAGATGAAATGCAGTCATTCAATTCCATACAAGCAATATTGTACAAAAGAGATGGCCTTGCTGGGGTTGCATTTTTATGTAATACAGGTGTTGAAGGAGTTCGGCTCATACGGAAACAGAAAACTGTATACAATTGTAATTCAAAATACCAAAGAATATCTGGACCTTGAGCTTTACTAACCTTCATGTTTAAGTGCATGGATTTTAAGAATAGTTGCATAGATGGATAGGCTCTCTTTTCAGTAGCATTTAAAAAATAAAGGAGCACCCTTGCTAATATTTCACATTATTAGCATTTAAGAGTAATTCACATACCTGGTTTTAATGTTTTGATTGCCACGGGGGTGGTATTATTCCACAGTCCTTCCCATACCTCACCAAACTGACCAGATCCTAATTTTTTCAACAATTTCAGAGATTTTCGGTCTATCTCCCACTGATCGACAGTTTTATAAGACAAATCAAAAGTAGTAGGTATTTGTACCTGGTAAAAGAAAATAAATAATACAGTAATTGAGACTTCCAATATTTTTTCAACAGCATATACAAGTCATTGTTAACTACGTCATGTAAAGTTGCAACTGATATAAATAATGCTTCCTTAGAGTACACATACACATGATAAAGTAAGCTGAGAACATAAAATACAGCCCACATCCTGGGTACTTTTTGTTAGAAATTAGAAATACTCTAAAGAAAATATCCTGCCATTAAAAGTAGAAATTAGAAATTCTCTAAAGAAAATATCCTGCCATTAAAAGTAAAAATTAGAAATCATCCCTCTAGCAAGCTTTTTGAACAGTGACGTATTGTTTGCCTGAACCTTGTGGTTTTGTCTCAGTAATTACTTACGGACAGCTAGAGTTATGAAGTTGGAGATTTCATCTCCATATACATTTATAAAAAGGTATTCATAAATCATGATTTGACGTATTTTCTCCTCCAGCCACACAATGATTTGTTCAAAATGGCATGGTATTTTATTATTAACATGTCAGCTTCAAGAATGAAACTGTAGCGCTACCCAGAACTTTCTGACAATAAGCAGATCATCAACATTTTGAAATGGCAGAAGCAGATATGGGTTTAACACCTTCTGACTGATAGCTGATGTGTTAGCTTACAAAACATATGTACAATGCACAATGTAGCATCTGCTCTTACCTTTAGGCATGGCTTTCTGAGCACCACACAGAGGCCATCACTGTTCTTACTGTAATAGTCAACAAACTCATTCAGAGTTTTGAAAGTTTTCCTTCTGCTTAGGAAAAAGCCTCCTTCATCCAGCTTTCTGATCCTGTAGTGCTTCACAGATACACCATCAAAAACTAAGAAGATTTAAATATATTAAGTTTCCAGGAGTTATAGCAATGGTACAATATAGCTTACGGCCAAACCATCATAATTTTCCTAAATGTATTTATGAGGACTTTAAAATAAATTATTTTAGTTTCAAAGATGACAACTATACAAAATCTCTTTCAAACCAAAGCCCACTGTTTAGATAGCTTAACATATCTAGTCTATTGGTCTTTAACCATTCAGGTTCAGAGACTCTTGCTTGCACCGTAAGAACTGACACAAAAATACACAAAGACATCTTCTGTGAGGCAGCTCCTATTTTCAATCTTTTAAGACACCAAAACCAGCTGGGAGCATCTAATTCACAGTAATCATTTAATCAGTTTTTAATATTTCATTTATCAGTGTTAACATTCTAAATAGCAGCTGCTGGGCTGGCAGGCATTTTAGAGCAAACAGAAATACCCTCCACACGGCCATGATTCTCCGGAAATCACTCACATCTTCCATGGGTCTTACTGAGTTTTGTGCATGTTCGGAATATGTAAAAATCAGGCCAATAATGCTCTGGTTTGAGTAGCTGATGATTCCCTTTCCATTGAAATGTGTTTTATTCTTATCTATTCTTTCTTAATCAACAAGACCTTTCTCTCCTCACCTCCTATAGGTTATTTAACTGTATGTCATGACACCCAAAGTGTCCTTCCTTGTGACCGTCAGAGCCCTCTTGGGAGGTGTCAGAAGGAAGGCTGGGCCACTTCATGCTGGGGCTAGACCTGGACCAGCATCAGGCCAGAGATGGACAAAAAAATGCACTGCCACTCACCTAGTATGTTATCTAAGGAATATTAGGCTTGTAATTGTCATTTCTGACAGCTCTGTCATATCTGGCTTAGAGCAGTGGTCTCCAAAGCAGAGTGCGTGCAACCCAGGGAATGTGCAAGGCAGTCCATTGGGGTGTGGGAAAAAATTTTTTTTTGTACCGTTAATAAAGAAAATAAAATAAATATTTTTAAAATACTGTTTATATTATCTTCATCTCATCCTTTTAATTTTTTTTTTTTTTGGTGTATGTTCTATAACGTACATAATCTATCAGTACAGTAGTACATGTATATAATTTACAAATAAATAAATAAATAAACACATATCGGGGGTGAATGCTCAAAAATCTTTTTACTGGTAGGGGTGCACAATCAAAAAAGTTTGGACACCACTGGCTTAGACATCTCCTTTATACAGGAATTTCAGCAGTAGCAATGGCAGGCTGAGCGTCAGCAGAGAGGGCAGTTCTGAAGAGCTGGAAAGGGGTGTAATCTCTCATTTAGCATGACACTCCACGACTGAGACATCCCTGTCCATTTCCAATGGGCAATGGAGAGCCAGTGTTACATACTGAAGGGTAACTGATTTAGCTCTTATCATCAGAGGGGTATCCCACCCTGCATTTAATGAAACAACACACTGCTTTTCCATGATGAGTGAGGACAGAGCTCTCAAGGGGAGGCGGATGCTCCAGTTGCCATCCCGGTCCTCATCACCCAACATTACACCTTTCCAATAGGTCAGGTGGCTCCTTCCACACCCATCAATTTGGGAGATTACCATTACTGTCCCTTTCTCAGGGCCCTCATGCAAGATGAAAGTCTGAAAAGCAAAAGGGAGGCATAGGGGAAGGGCCTTCTGCTGTTTACCTCCAGTATACCTTTTAGTAGCCAAAATTCCAGCAAATAATTTAGTCATGTTGACTAGGGGCTACTCTTAGTTAAATAATTTAATGGAAATATTTTTCAATCCTAGAAGCAGCCTTACTCTGTCACATTCAAAAATCTAATCTAAAAAATTGTTATTGCTCACCCCAGGAGATATTATAGCTGATAGATCCTTGATATTGTAACACTGCATGGATTTTGGCAATCACTTTGGTTATACTAACAGAAGAATACACAGCCACGTATTGTATGTAGAAAATATTATAGAAAATTATGGGTTGCATGCAATTAACAAAGCTGATATAAAGTATAATTTTTCTCACTGCTTAAGTGATTAAGTTAAAAAGAAAAATTTCTCCTTCCTTAAGTACTGTCATGTATAAGCAAATTTTTTCTACTGTACTGTGCGATTGTCACGCCATGCCACCAGAGGGCACACAGGAGCTGTTGAAAATACTAGGAGATTTTATCTCTGCCACAGGTAATATTTTGAGAGAGCTGATTTACCAATTTACAATTCTGCATGAGGACCAGGAATAAGAATATTTGTAAATATAACTCCATAGTATAAAGATAATTACATCACACTTTTCAAATGCCATTTCTTTTTAATTTAACGCCTTATAATTAGTATTTTTTAATTATAAAATGCATGCATATTTTTGAGATGTATCATTTGGAAATGTGACTGAACAGTAACAACAGACTGGAAATGTAATGGCTTTTCCAAAGCTCACAGTAAAGTGCATCTGGCCAAATGAATTGCTACTTATGATGAATAAAAGGCCAACAGGATGACTATGTTAATCCAGTCTCAGTTGTACATCACAAGTGATAGTAGTTTGACTACCTGCTTTATTTATTAGCAGCATTATAATTATTACTTGTGAAGCAGCTAATGTCAATGCTAGAGTTGGTTTGAAGGCTGTGCTATAATTTCTTAAATGAGCTTTGCATGAAGCCTTATGATTGGCAGCATACAGGTCAGGCAGTGATGCATGTGGAGAATCTGGAGAAAATTTCTGCTCCGATACCGTCTTTGCTTGTCATAAGCAGCTGAGATCAGTGCAGTATTTGACAAGGGGCTGTTTACTTGTATCCCAGGGCTGAGTCTGGCTGTACGAGTCCTGCACCGCACACTCGCAGAGCTGCAGCCTGGTGTGGCTCCTCTGCCCAACACGACACAGAGCACGTGTCACTCAGGGAAGAGCTAGCCATAACCCCCTCGGTGCGTCCAGTCATCCCTACATCCACGCCAGACTGTTTAACAGGACAGGATCACAACTTCAGCTTCACACAGTTTGACAGCAACTAGGTTTGAAGACCGCAGTGGTTTTCTCCTCAACTTGCCCTTCCCAAAAGAATCACCACACCCCATTAGATTTCTTCATGGGTTTGGCTTAACAAAAGTGTTCTCCTCTCCCTGCTTCCCATCTTCATAAGGTTGGGCCATGCAGAAGTAGATTTTGCCCCCGCAAGGACGAGAATAAAATAATTTACTACTCCTTTCCTAGGGCAGCAAAATTTATGGTGGCATCAGCAGAGTCAACGTCTTCACCAAATGAGTCACGGAGACACTAAGGCAGCATTACTGCCAGTGTCCCAACATCTCTCCTGTCAGCAGTCCTCCCCCAGCACAACCGTGCAGTGCTGCTGGCAGGAGCTGTGCTGGCTCTCCAGGCCCAGGGTGGATGTGGGAGGAGGGTGGCTTATGAGATCACCCTCGCCAGCACAGAGCGGGTGCAGGGGCTGCTCCGAAATTGTTCTCCTGCTGCCGCCATCATTTTGCCACTCCTATCAGTCTGCTGCCTTAAACTATTACCTATTTTTTCCTATGCTGAAAGCCAATCTGGCCTAGAGGAAACCACACAATCTTTTTTAGGAGCAGGGAAAAAAATGGAAGAAAACACAAACCATTTACATTGTTATTTAATGCAATCAGTCTTTCAGATACCATTATTCAGTGGGGGGGGAAGTAGAAAGCCTCCTGCTATCATTGGCAATGACACTCAATTAAGCCGAGCACATCTAAATTATGGCTTTTAATTAAAAAGAGGCAATGTCTAAGATGGCACCAACATGTTTAAAATTTAATATATTTCACACCAGATGCTGGAGTCATCAACATAAAAATCTGTCGACAACATGTGCATTTTTAAAATGGGAAAACCTATTTTTGAAATGTCAAACACTTTAAAATGATAGCAACACATCTCAGTGGCCTATCTGGTTTGATGTGCTTTCCATTTAACCATTCACAGTTGAGAAAAACCTTTCTGAATATGACTTTTTATTTTTAATTTAAATAGTCATTTATCATCTAAATCTTACAAATTGTGAGTTTTCCCATCAAAGCAAGTTAGAAGTGAAAAGTGTCATTTTAATGAAAGGTAGGGTTTATTTCTTTTCCTTTTTTTTTTCCTAAGGACATCCATTTGTCTCCCTCATTAACATTAAGTCTCTTATACATTGCCCATATGAGTATGAAATCAAGCATGAAAGTCATAAAATCAGTTTATGGGTGCTTGGGTAAAAATCTTTCTTCCTTTTCTACTTCTTTTCCTTTTTAGCTTTATTATACTTAAATGTTAGGCTGGAGAGAGAGTTGTAATATTTTCTTAAAGACCTTAATTCTGAAAGCCAGGTTGTCACTCTTCTAGCCGTTATCATCTACCCTGGAGTGAAACCAAAACAGCAATAGCAGGTACAGCAACCCCAACCAGTTCTACAGAGGATGGGGGTCTATGTGCACCGAAAAAATTGGAAACAGAAATTAGGGATATATTCCAAAATATCAGGTTGTGACTTCTGCCCTGTCAGTGTATAAGCTACCATGCAGATAGAAGCCATCCAGGACCTCCTAAAAGAAATACTCCTGAATCATTATTCCTCAAGAAAACACTGCTTTTTTGCCTCATTTTTGAGTGTCTCATAACTCCTTCTGATGGAACAAAAAGGAGAGAGTCAGAAAAACTGCCTTCTCCATAGCATCTGGTGAACTAAACAACCTTCCTTCCAACTAATTCTACCCACAGTACAGTCCACTTAATTATTTGTTTTAGCATGCACTAGCTCTCCCAAAAGTAGACATAAGTAATGGGATTATGGACATACAATGTCTGGACCATTATGTATACTATTAGGTTGGAAGCAAAAATCTTGCACAACACAAACAGACACCATTCAGTCAAGCCTATTCAGTAAGCAGCAAATAATATTTAGCTCTTCAGGATGAAGTAGTGTGTTGAGGCTAAATTACATTCAAGTCTGGGAAGCTGCTAAAAGATCTAGCAGCAGTGGTAAATCATGTCATTAATACTCACTCTCTACGGTCTGCTTCAGAGTTTATTCTCTTTCTTTGCCTAAAAGAGCACAAATGTGTAATAAATCTGAGATGACACGCATATACATGCATACATGCTCCGAGGGCAACCCATGTTTGTGCATGAAGGAGGGCTGGCTCCTGTAGCTGGAGCCTTGCCTTCGCATATATTATGTTCTTCAGCACCACTCTTCCCTTCCTTCATCAAACAAACCAGCATGGAAGAAATCCACACTGATGGTTTCATATCTTGCTGTTATCAGCCATCATCAAATCTCCTGTTCCCAAATAACCTTGTACAGAAACCTGAAAAATGTCTGCCACAAGCTTTTATAATTGAATCAAATATACTAAACCAGATAGAATATAGTTTCTATCCATGATTTGTAATGAAAAAATTAAACAGCAGCATCAAAGGATGATCTCATCCTACCACAAATGCTGGCCTAATATTTATTTTCATTCTCTTGGATTTTTCTCTGCGGTACTTCATAGTTTAAATAAGGTAGTGCTGCCTTCCTGTTAGAGAAGTAGTCAGGATGCAGGGTGAAGAATTAAGATTTTGAATCTTTCCTAGAAGGCTACAGTTGGAGAATAACAAAAAGAAATTGCATTTCCACCCCTAGGTGCACAAGCACAAGAGTTTTCATTGATTTTTAGTAAGGCGTCATGTATTCAAGTGCCAGCATTAAGCAGATAATACAGGCCTGTCTACCCTTCCCTGCATAACACCACACGGTTATCAGTCTAGCCCAGTCCTTGGATGAAATCAGTTCACTGATGAAGAACACTTGAAGGAAGCTGAAACCACGTAAGACAGGGATAAGTTGGCATAGAGAGGGAAAGCATTTTGAAAGGTTTCAGGTTATAATACAGGCTTTGGATAAAAGGGTGCACACACACGGGTCAGTTCAGTCGCAGCTTGGGAGCAGTCCGATTCCTTGCTGTTGTTTTAGTTTTCTCATCAGAGCTTCTTGGCAAGAACAAGCTTCCTTGAGGGAAAACTGAAGACTATGGAATGAGCTCTCCCAGAACTGTATTTATTTCATAAACTTCCCTGTATTTCACTCCACAGGCAACATGTATTTCTTTGTCTTGGCAATAAAAAGCAACCTTCCCATTACCACAAGACATTGCAGGTATATACCCTTTCCTTATGATTCAGAAAGAGAAACCAAGAATGTGTCAAAAGTTCATTAAGCTGCTTAATGTGTTTCTGTGTAATGCTCAGAAGATGACTGACACATAAGCATCCAGGCAGAAGAGGAGTCAATATGAAAGAATCTGGTCATGCACAAGACATCTGTCATTTTACTGACATAATTCTGCATGTGATAACTTACGGTATTCACAAACACCAAGAGTCTTCAGTGGTGTGTGGAACTATATAGGTAGAGCACATTAGGAAGTTTGGGTGTATAGCCCTGTTGTCTCAGGGACAACATTATACTCTTGACTCACACTCGTACAACAAGTTTGACAGAAAATGTTCACGGAAAACAACCAACGAACAATCATGTTTACTATCTAATATGGTAAATATCTATGACATGAAAAAGATGACATGTACATACATGTGAGTAAGTAAAATTATTATCAAATAAGTGTCCTTATTGATAGTCTTTTGGATTCAAATAAAGGACTTTAAATACATTTCAAAACCCATCATCATCACAAATCTAACTTTTTACTGATGTTTACAACTAACTTTTCAATGAAATATAACTGATTCTAAAGTAGAGCTTTGAAGATCTTCCTATCATTTTGCCCCTGAAAACAAATAAATATAAACCTAAGGGTGTGCTCTAGCAGAAATCTCGTTTTCTTAAACTGCAGATATCTGCCAACATGGTTTAATTTGTATTTTGTGTACTAATCAGAACAGTAGTGTACAGCTGTAATGTATTTTTCAGCATTTTAATCATGATAGTTTCTATTTTAAGGCAGCTGGCGCACTAGAAGTACTAAGCATAAGAAAGTTAATTTCTGTTCTGAGCATATTAATAAACAAAGCCTACAAAAATAAATAAATAAGTAAAAACCCAAATGACTCTTACCAAGTTTTCTTATATATCTCCCGGGAAAGAAATGTTATCATTAACTTAATTTCACTTTCATGCCCACAGTTTATTGTTCTCAAAACTGAAAAAGTCCAGATCACCTGAGAAATTTTTAAAACATGGTTTAAGATGAAAAGCTAGAATATACCTGAAAGTGAGTATTCGCCTTTTAGACTTTCACTTTCTCGAATTAGGAAGGCTCCTGCTTGGTTTCCAGGGTACGACAGTTGTCTCTCGGCATCTGCTCGTTTGATTGGGCCAAAAAACCATCTGAACAAATAAAAAACATTAATTTTACCAGTCAGTGAAACATACCAGGAAGACAATTTAACTTTTATAAACATGCTGCATATTTACTAAAAGATAATCTGTGCTATGCTAATTAAATTCCAATAGCATGGGGGGGGGAAGCCAACAAGAACTACACAACAAATTTATTGCTTAGAAAATATTGCTTACACATTTGAAAGAAATCTGGATTTTACTGCTGATGGAAAGTCCTATTGATTTCAAAGGAATGAGAATTCAGAAGTGACAGACTGGCCTTGACCCAGGAAAAATTCACCAAGAAATTTTGCCAAGGCTGCTGTGGCAGAAATTGAGGCCAAGTCCACTGATGCCACTTGAACTATGTAGAGGTGCGGGTATGCGCTAACATCCCGACCTCTTAAAAGTCAAAGATCCCTGAAACTGCAGAAGGGCTCTCAGGTTCCAAGAGGTAAACCACCCTGCAGCCTTCCCCATTCCACTGCCACGTTGATACCTCAAATGAGTTATTGGCAATTTTTCAGCTCTGCTGCTGTTAGACAAACAAAACCAGTATGTTCCTCAAGTCACAGCAAACATCTCAATATCCCTGTTCTGTAACAATCTACTCCTATCTATGCCTTTTAAAACATATTTTTCCTCTCTCACTAAACCCTGTAGTTTACAAGGACTTGTTCAAGCAATAGTTTTAGTTTGCTCCTCTGAGGGTACTATTTAGCTCTTTTGCTGCTTTGTAGTGAGTGCAAATTAAGTGGAAATAAGACTGAGATGAGTCAGCATTTTCAGCTGGGGCGGCATTCAGCTTCCATCCAACAAACATACAAAGCTCTTTCCAAGATCAGCTCCACCCCTTATTTGAAGCAAATGACAATAAATAGCTATCAGAAATATGCCATATACTCATTGGTGAACGCCTTTTAAATTAATCATAACTAAACCTATTATGCAAGCTTTTAAGATAACTCAATGTATCGCACCACAAGTAAGTTGCCTATTCAGCTAACCACTTGATTTGTCAATTACTAGTGAAAAGTACAGAAGGAGTCATCAACAAACTACTTTAATATCTGTAAGGCTTGTAAGGAGGAATGGAGGAAATAAATGAGAACATTGGGTGACACCTCGGCTGAGCAAGCCTGAGGGATGAAAAATGGTTTTGTATGAATAAAGGTGAAATAAAAAGAGGCAAATACAGACGGTGCTAAACTACACTGAATATGCTTTGTTAACAGAAGAAAATGAAATCCAGATATTCTGGACTGCATTCCTGTCTTCTGACTTGAAGATGATTTGGAGAAAATAGGCCTTGATACATATTTGGCAAGGAAAGGAATCTCCTTAGAAAGCTGGAATGTGTTAGTAACAATTTTAATTAGTTAAACATGTCAATCAATTCAACTAATTAATTAAATTAATTTAATTAATTCATTAATTAGACTGTAGAAAACTAAGTAATCAATAAATGTTCAAATCCTTGACTGAGGTTCTCATCAAAGGAATGAGAGGACAGAGTACAAGTTCAATTCCATTCAAGTCTCAAAGAAAATCTGTCTACCTTAAAAACTGAATTAGAACCTTTCTGAAATTTCTAAATACAACTGCTCTGAGAATAACATCTGAAAACTAATAAACTATATGATCTGAAAAAAAATTGAACTAGTATTTTTCTCCTTGAATTATAAGATATCACTTAGTAATGTCCAAAGTGACTCTCATAAGAGTGTGTAAGAAAAGGTGTTTCATTTTGTGTCTCCTTTCTTCACGGGTTAGGAGGATAGCATCCTCTCAAAAGGATTTCATTTTGTACCAAAGCCAAAAGAGCTTCCAATTAGCAAGGTTGAATTTTTTGTTCCGGATAGTCAAAAGTATAGACTTTACGTGACCCAGTGTTTGTACATACACTGCTCATATTGCTACAGCTGAAAACATGAGCAGTAATAGAATATATGCAACAAGAGGAAATTGTTGGTTTATTTGGCAAATACAATTTAAAACAGTATTACACTTGTGTATGTAAGGAAAAAACCCAACACAAGCGTATATTGTATTTAGGCACATGTATCTGTTCCTTTGACTTCAAAATATTTCAAAATATATGTTTATTTTTCTTAGGTTGGAAAAACTTCATTTAAATCAATATGAATTTACCATTAAAGCAGATATGGAGGATATGTAATATGTAGGTTCTGACTTTAGATAAACTTAGCAGTTAAAAAGATCCTGACTTGCAAAATAAGATAATTAGAGCAACAGTATTTGAGAAGGTAAGTGTAACTGAGGCAATTATTATGGAGAGTGAGAAGTGGACACATGTTGTATATTACTTCATTTGCCTGACTTCATATGATCGAATTAAAATGTTTCAGAAAAATATAATGAAAACTACTTTTAATAGCATTTGAATATGGGATTCTTAGATCAAAGTAATTTGGTTTGCAATAATAATCATACAGTACTAAAAGCCACACTGGTGGTGAAAAAATAACCCCTTAACCTCAAAGCAAATAATTTAATTTGTTATTCACTTTTTTTAACAAAAGCACATCCGAATTTAAAGTACTATTTCCATTACAAATGGAAGTTTAAATTCCTTTTATAAAGCATGAAGGGCTTATTTCAATTTCTAGCAACTGAACTTACGCTTCAAAAGGCTTAATATTTTACTTCATCCAAAAGTGTGTATTTTAAAGGAAAAACTACTCTAAAGAGTAATAATGAATCAAAGTAACTGCTCACCATGAGATACTGGTGATCTGGCCACCATATATAGGCGGACTTTGGGGACAGAAAAGATGACCTTCATGTAGGTCCATAACAAACACAGTCCTTACTTGGTGCAGATGACGCCCAATACTAGAGTACCAGCGAGGTTTGTTGTGGTCATTCAGTGTAGTGATCCCATCTCTATTGGTCATCAATTTCGCTGGCAGGTTTTTGACCACAGGATCAACAGCTGATGGACGCATGTATCATAGCAGGCTTTCTCATGGGATGTTCCCTGACTGTGACAGTATCATTGCTGAGACCCGTACTCCAATCCTATGATCCTTTTCTTCCAGCAAAGGATAGGATATATCTTGATATTCTTGAAGGGCAAATTTTTTAAGAAACAGAGATCATGTCACCTGTGCTCACCCCTGCCTCCCCATTCAGTCCAGCTTGAATCAAAATGGAGTCATGAGTTCAAGAGAAGTTGATGGTGTTACTTGGCTCCATCACCATCACAGAAGCCCTCTGTCCTCCAGGTTGCAATGCACTGCTGATCTCTGTCTAAATGTCAAAGCCCCATTCACCTGGTTCTGCTTTGTGTCTCCCTGTGCTTTGCTATATAAAAATCTGCTAAAATAAAAATGTTTAATCTTCTGCACTTTTTTTCTTGTAACAGGAAGATATGGCAGGAATTTTTAATCTGGAAGGTGGAAGACAGGAAGAGTAACATGGGCCAAGGGTACTGCATGCCGCATAGCTGCTGACAGAATCACTAAAGCAAAGAAAGTTAGAGGGGCAAAGTTGTGCAATGCTATACCACTGACAAAGTTTCCAGTGCTTGGCAACATGCCTAGAAGAAGATAAAACCCCAGCAGAAAAACAAAAAAACACAAATATCTCCATCCAAAAAAAGAGTATGCAAAATGAGTTTTCTTCCCTTCCATTCTGTTCGCTCTCATTAATGTAATAGCCCGTTCTGATCATATCACTGTCATCAGTGCAATGTACTCATTCGAGGTAGAGATTGAAGATTTAACAGAGGATATCAACTAATCTGGGAACTACAGGATCTTTTTCTCTCCTGAAATTAACTCTATCCAACACCCAGAGTTAAACCCAAACAAAAGGATTCCCAGCCATGGTCCAGATGAAGAAGCTCACAGGGGAAATATTTTTTTGTCAGCCTACCATTCCTTGGGCAGCCCTTTTACTGCCCCCTGTTCCCCTTTTACACTGGAGCTTTATGCTTGGTCTCTCCTAAGTCCCAAACACACTAACTCCTAGCAATAATGCAAGATGTATGCTGAGCCTTAACCAGTCATGGGCCAGACAAAACGCATCGGGGGGACATGTCTTTCTGTAGACTCAACTTCTCGGGGAAGACCCTTGAAGCTTTATTCAAACTGGAGCTCTAGGGTTTGTCACCCTCCTAACCCTAAAGCTAACCCAAGCCCTAATGCTAACTGTAGACCTGGTTTGAGCCCTAGCCAAAGACCCCCCCATCTATAGGCCACATGAAAAACTTCCCAAAGGACAAGTCTTTCTGCACCTTTGATCTTCCTTGGGCAGTCCCTCAGCAGCCGTAGGCACACTGGAGCTCTAGGGTTCATCTCTCTCTTAATCCTAACCCTAGATATGGGCTGACCTCTGCCAAAGATTCTCAGTCATGCCAAATGAACAAGCAACAGGCATGGGCTAAGTCCCATGCAGGGGGACCCCTTGGCATGGGCCAGACACGAAAGTCCTAAGAGGACAAATGTCTCTGCAGCCTCAACCTTCCTTGTGTGGCCACTGTGTCACCCCCCTCCAGCAGGAGCTCTAGTATTTGCCTTTCTCCTAACCCAATCTCTTGCTTTTGCATTGGAGGAACCACAACCAAAGACCCCCAAACATGGTCTAGGTGAAAAATCTGTTACTGGAGAAATTTTTTGGCAGCATATCTTTTCCTTGGCCAGCCCCTTCGAAGCCCTACTCCAACAGAAACTCGAAGGAGTTAAGGACTCTGTGTGCATCCCCCTTTGGGATGTGGATAAGATCTTCATCACCAAGCCAAACACCAACTCTGAACTAATAGCTACTATCTTTGGCTTTCTTGGAAATTTCAGCAGATCCCTCACTGCTCTTTTGTTATCCACACTGAAGACCAGCACAGAAAATTATGTGGAAGTTCTGACTATGTCACCCATTTGCATTAGGGCTCACCAGAGCACAGCTTCCCACTTTTATCCTCTGCCTTTACTTAGATTTAATATGTACAGGAGCAAAGTCAGAATTAGCTCCACAACGTCGTATCT